ATTCAGCCGCTGTTGAAACTGATCAGTTTCAGCAGCGGCTGAATCTGGACGCCAGTTCCGACTTACATACAGATTCAACTTAAGAACAAACCTACAGTCCCTATCTTGTACGTAACCCGGGGACTGCCTGTATTAGACTACTGTTATACATGAGAGCTTTTTTTCCTGTTTTTTTCCATACCCTGTTGCTCACCGCATCTATTCAGCCGCTGTTGAAACTGATCAGTTTCAGCAGCGGCTGAATCTGGACGCCAGTTCCGACTTACATACAGATTCAACTTAAGAACAAACCTACAGTCCCTATCTTGTACGTAACCCGGGGACTGCCTGTATTAGACTACTGTTATACATGAGAGCTTTTTTTCCTGTTTTTTTCCATACCCTGTTGCTCACCGCATCTGCAATTATGTCTCTTCCTACCCCTTCCCCAACACAAATTGTTAACCTAAGAATGTTGTTTTCACTGCCTTCAATATGGATCTGTTTTGTGAGTACATTGCCCTTCCATTCATGTCATTTTCACAGCTCCTGTGTGATCATAGTGAATGTTTTAGAAGGACACAACATTTCAAGAATGCTGCCTGCACTCTTTTCAAGTAAAAGGAAACCTTAATCTTGGCACCCTTCATGTGCGCTCATTGCTTAAAGAAAAAATTTAGAAAAGCACTTACTTGGATATATAATATTGAATTATTACTATTCTCTCTATATTAAGAAATAGAAATTATATCAGGAGGTGAGTGCACATCAGTGGATTTTGTTTAGCAGTAAGTAAAATATTAATAGCTTCAGAGGGGTAGTCAAATTAGTCTATAACAGGAAAAACTTAAGAAACAACAAATAGTCTGATAGGACTTTAAAGACTAACAAAACATGTAGATGGTATCATGAGCTAATGGTGGGGGGGAGGGGGGAGAAAAAGAGGCAGTGAGTAGATACATTTCAAAGGGAAAGCTGAGCCAGTATGTAACAGGAAAAACTGAAAATCAACAAATAGTGTATTAGCATCTAAAGACTAGGTAGTTAAAAAAGGCAGATAAGAACCATTAGTTTGCACTAGGAAAGGAAGACTACTAACACTAGATTCTACATAGACATAAAGAACCATTGGCACCTTCATTGTTTGATTGGTTGATAATGTCCCAGCCTTCCAATATAGGGCTTTAGACCATTTGCATGAGAGTTAAATTTGTGAATGAAGTGGAGTTCCATTCCTTCTCTGTGTATTTGGCTTGTGAAATTGGTCTTTACCAAAACAGCAACTTGGAGATCCCTTAATGAGTGTCCAGGGAGTTTAAAGGGTTAAACAGATTTCCTTTTTGGATATCTGATTTGTGTCCATTAATTCTTTCCTGTAGGGACTGTCCAGTTTATCTAATATATATCGCAGAGCGGCATTGCTTGCATTTGATGGCATAGACCACATTACTGGATTTGCAGTTAAATGAGCCCCTGATTTGGTGGGTGATATGGTTGGGTCCAGTGATGAATTCACTTGTATAGATATGTGGGCAGAGTTGGCACCGGGGCTGATTGCAGGGCTGGGTTCCTAGATGCTTATGATGTAGCTGTGTAGCATGGTTACCGGAAAGAATTTGTTTTAGGTTACGGGGTTGTCTGTAAGCAAGAGTAGGCCTTTCCCCCAAGGCCTCTGAGAGTGAGGGGCCTTTTTCCAAGATAGGTTGTAGATTGTGGATAATGCGTTGGAGGAGTTTAAGTTGTGGACTGTACATAATGACAAGTGGAATTCTATTGTTTTCTCTTTTGGGTCTGTCTTAAAGTAGTTTATGTCTGGGTACTTTTTTGGCTCTGTCAATCTGTTCTTTCACTTCTCTGGGTGAGTATTTCAGTTTTAAGAATTCTCTATATAGATCCTGTAGGTGTTTGTCTCTGTCTGTGAGATTGGAGCAAATCCGGTTGTATTTTAGGGCTTGGCTGTATACAATAGATTGAGAAATGTGTCTAGGATGGAAGCTGGAGGCATGAAGGTAAGTGTAGTGATCGGTAGATTTCCGATATATGGTGGTAGAAATTTGTCTGTTATATAATTGTACTGTGGTATCAAGGAAGTGGATTTCTCATGTGGACTGATCCAGGCTGAGGTTGATGGTGGGGGGGAAGCAATATCATATTATTAATTAAATATGCATATTTTCTCCCCTGGTGAAAATATTAATAATTCAAACTCACTATTTCTATGTGCGCTGCTTTATATAGCAAGTTTCTACTCATTGTTTGCGATCCTTATGCACAGCAGCAATAAAAAGGATAAATAATTATTAAAAGTGTGTGTTGCACAGTTCAATAATGCATCATTAGCTGGAAGTATTTTGCTTTTTTTCTTGGAGAAAAATAAGTGTCTCATCTCTTCTCCAGTGAGCACCATCCTCACATTTGGAAAAATCTGATCCTTGTTCATCACTGGCCTGTGACTGTATGCAAGGTGAGCTTTGTTTTAAGTGCATAATTGTAAATAGAACTGTGTATATCATGCAAACAGCATATGTATGAAAATAGGGTGAACCTAGTGTTGTAGCAACATCTCTAGTATATTGAAATCTACTTACATTCTGTTGTTCTTGCTTCTCTGAGTATTGGTTTATATCTGTTTGTCACATCTTTCAGTGGCGTGAGAGCAACAAGAAAGAACAAGTGGCTAGAGCCATATCCATAACCATCTATAAGAGGTAGTATATCAGTTTTAATAGTAATACGTACAATGGTCAATGTCTCTACACAGTTTTAGGCTCATGCAGCTAGCTATGTGACCCTAACTCAATATTCTTCTTCGAGGGTACATCTACACTGTGCAGCTATTTCGGGATACTGGAGGTATTTCATCATCCTGGTAAACTTTGTTCCGCAAAGGTTAAGGGATGTCTCAAAATAGTGCATTATTTTGAAATTTGGTGCTGGGTGTTGTGCCAAATTTCAAAATAAGCTATTTTGAAACAGATTCAAAGTAAGACATACAATTTGCATAATGCAAATTGCATATCTTATTTCGAGTTTAGGGTGCTGGATAGACGTGTCCCAAGAGACATCCCTGTGGATGCTCCACAGCAGGTGTCAGTGCATCCCAGCGCTGCGGACTGGATTCTTTACAGCTGTGGTTGGGGGGCCATGCATGCGTGGCGAACAGGGCACCCAGGTGCCACACGGTGCAATCATGCATGTATGGTCACCCTCCTCAGTTCCTTCTTACTATCCCCAGCTTAAGACCGAGCTCAGCAGTGCTCTTCACTCAGCCTTGTTTCCTGTAGATAAGTAGTTTGTTTCATTCATTTCTTGTTGTTTTTCCCTTTGTTGATTTCATCCAAGTTCATCTCTACCCCAGCTCCGCCCCCTCAAAAAAACCCCTCCACTCTGGTATTCACTATCCACCAGCCGGGCCCAGGACTCCGCTCCCAGTGTCCTGCCTTGGGCTCCTCAAACCCTTTGGCCGGGCCCGCTTGGGCTTCAGCTTTGGGTCTAGGTGGTGGGGCTTGGGCTTTGGCTCTGCCCATGGGCCCCGGCAAGTCTAAACCAGCCGTTAAAATGGGATTGCGACCAGTGTTCCCGCTAAGATTTTCCATCCTCGGGCAGGTTGAAATTTCTTATGTGCAACACCAATATTCAGGTAGTGTGTAGATGTGCAACCACCAGTACAAACAAAACCCGCAGATCTAAATATATATTTTAAATAGCCCATAGGTATGGAAGAAAATATATTAAAACAAGGCATAATTGACAAGGAGCAATGCTTATGATTATTTAATATGAAATCAACTAAAAAGAAAATTAACACTACCCTTGGCTGAAAAAGTGGATTGTGCCCACAAAAGCTCATGATACTATTTATATATTTTTGTTAGCCTAAGGTGCTACAGGACCATTGTTGTTTAAGTTTTTTTTAGTGACAGACTGACACGGTTACCCCTCTGAGGTCTTGGAGTACATGTATCATCATCCTTTCTAACAGACAGATATATGTTTCAAAGATCTTTCACCCTACAAAACAGCTAGCATCACACTTAGTACTTGCTACTTCTGACTCATAAGAGCCAGAACTCTGCCAGATAGCAAAGATCTGGCTTTAATACAATACAGTTTACCATGTATTAATTAGTAACACAGGATTTAAAATAATTATTAAGATCAGAATTTTAGCTATCTGCAACACAAACAAAAATTCTGTTAAAAGAATCCTTTTCTTTCTTACCTTAAGCCATTAACACAGGGGCGGGCAATATTTTTTTAATAGGGGGGGCACTCCAATAATTTGGCAAGTGGTTGAGGGCCTCATTATATTAATGGAGGAGGTGTGAGGGTCTGGGATTGAGGTTGGGTGCAGAAGGGAGGTTGGGGTAAGGGATCTGGAAGGGAGTTTGGGTGAAGTAGTGGATCGTGACCTGGGGCAACAGATTGGGGTAAGAAGGGGATGCAGGGCCTGAAAGGGGTTGTGACCTGGGGTAGGAGTGCCAGAGGGGGTGCAGGGATTTTGGCTGTGACTAGGGATAGCAGATTGGAGTGCAAGATCTGAGAGGGGGTTGTGACCTGAGGAGGGGTGTAGGAGGGGATGCAGTGTCTGGGAAGGTATAGGGGGGCTGGAGCAGGGGTGCAGAAGGTTTGGGTTACATGGGATAGGGGAGCTGAGGGAGGGAAGGAGAGGCTGGAGTACCAGAGAGAGGCTCTGGCTAGGAATCCTTACCTGGTTCCCAGCCAGCATCCCAGTAGGTTCCTTAGTCAGGGTCCCTGCCTTCCAGCCCCTGTACATGCTCAGGGGAGCTGCAGGAACCATGTTTATTGTTCTGCACTGATGCTGTTAGCCCAGGGGATGAAGAGGAAAGGCACTTCACACGCTGCCTGTCCTGCAAACGGGCAGCTGCTATTGGTCAAAACCGGCCATTTGTCAGTGCTATGGGGTAGACAAAGCTCACACTCACTTCAGTTGGATTTGTGGTGGACGTGCACAAAAATCTGGCCTTAGATCAAGTATTGAGATGAAGATAACCCAAAATCAATGGCCTGGCAAATCATTGGTTAAATGAACGAGACACAAACTATGAAAGTAAAATATTTTACAACTATGCAGCCATGCTGGCTGCTGCTTTTATTCTATAACTTTGATGTTGGCTGAAAAGTTATATTAACCCTGTGAGCTAAAATGGAGAAGTTGCAAGTAGGATACTGAAGACTTGTCAAGCTACCAAAAAATCAGGCTCTCTTACCAGTAAGCCTTACTGTGTCTCGTGTGGAGAGGAATCAAAATGGAAACAAATATATCTAATGGACTAGAAAAACTTTGAAAGAATATAATTGTTAGGTGACTTTTTGTACCATTACACAACCTTAATGTTAACAAGAATCTTAACTTCAGTTCCATCTCTAGAGGAGATGAAACTGTTGCTTGGCATGCACATGACCTTCCTCTTTATTCCTAGCTGCTGTGTTGTTTTCATATCCAGAAGAGATATTCAGACACCTTTAAATCAATCTATAGTAAATTAAAAGGAAATCTGATTTCATGGTCATTCTCGCCTGAATAGAATGGAGCAGGCTAGAAATAGAGAGCTTACATAATTTAGCTTAATATGTATAAACATCTATTACTTTATTGTAGTGGCAAACTTCAAATAAACCTTTTCTCTTCCTTGGTTAGCTTAGATGTTACATGTTTGCTGTCTGCCAGCCCCTTTCTCCCCAGTGCCTAACACCCTTTGACCCCCACTCCTACGCCCCATGCCCTTTGTCCATTTAAACTCTGACCCCTACAGTCCATGCCAGCACTCCTTTGTCCATTTAACCTCTGACCCCTACAGTCCATGCCAGCACCCTCCTGCCCGATGATCCCACCATGTCCTAACTCATCACCCCTTTGCCCCCTCTCTACCCCACTCCCACACCCACCAAAGTGAGGCTGCTCCTTTTAGGGAGTGTGGTAGGGTTGCCAGATCGTCTCCCAAAAAATACCGTACACACGGGCTAAAAATTTGTCAAGCAAAAAAAAAAAAAACAAACAAACAACAAACACCCCCACCCCCACACAGAACACACATCCTGTGTGGCTACTACCAAACAACAAACACCCACAACCCCACACCGAACACACATCCTGTGTGGCTACTACCAAGAGCCTCTAAGCTGGGAACAAAGGCGGAGGCAGCAGAGCCTGCTCTGCAAAGCAGCCGCCTGCTACCCAAAGCAGAGAGAGGCAGACCCTGGGGCAACACAATGGCAGGGTAGGGGAGGGAAGGGGCGGGCCACCATGGGTAGGAAGGTGACTCCCCCATAGCCAGGTCTTTAAGTGTCCCAGTGGTAAGAAGCAGAAATTCCACCCCAGTCAGTTTTGGCTGAGAG